TGGAACTTCGCTCCCCGAATTCTCCGCCGGTGTTGCTGCAGGCAAATAGAAAAAGCGGCAGCATCATCAGCGTAGCAGTTCGTGTTTGTGTTTGTTTTGTAGCGGGTTGCTGAGAAATAACTACTGAAATTTAACCCCAATACACCCCAAGACGAGCACTACATCCAATGGTGATGGCTTAGGGATAGAGGTTTACTGCCGCCACCCAGCGCCTCGCTCATGCCGCCCGGCTTGGCAATGAGGAGAATTCCTAGAGAGCAAAGCATGACCATCGTCCAGAGCCTGCAGCACCAGCAGCAGCAGCGAAAGCAGCTGTCACTGCTGCACTGCGTGCAGTAGTCACTGGAGCCAGAGCTCTAGCACCAGCAGAAGAAACAACACCAGCAGCATCAATACCAGCAGCAGCAGCAGGAACGGCAACAGCACAAGCGACACCGTCTCCACTAAGAGCCACCGGCTGTTTGTTAGAATCTCCTGCACTAGCAACACCAGCCCGGCTACTAGCACAAGCAAGAGCAGCACTACTACCACAATCACCAACAGCAGCAGCAGTAACAGCAGCAGCAGTAACAGCAGCAGCAGTAACAGCAGCAGCGTATTACCACCCCAGTCCTTCCTTCTGGATCAACGCCCCCAGTAAGGCGGCCCAAATTGTGGCCGACAAACCAACAGCCGCTGCATCTCCCAGAGGCAGGCGCGAGAGACCAACGTAATACAATGCTGAAACAAGGAAATTCAGAACAACAACACAATATATACAACTTAAACGACGAAAGCAGTTGCATTGCACCAGTACTACCTCACCCTCATCATACAGCAGCAGAAGCTGCAACAGGTGCTGCTGCTCGCGTTGCATCTCTGTTAGAGCAGCAGCAGAAGGAGCAAAGGCAGAAGATAAGCCAGCCTTCGCCAACAACAGCAGCAACAACAACAACGATAACAGCAACAACAACAGCAACACGGCAGTAGAAGCAGAAGCAGCAACAGCAGCAGAAACAGCAACACACCATGACAGATGACGGCGATGATTCCCCTAGCATACAGATATTTGGCTAGGGGATTCTTGGGGTGTAAATACTTGAAAGGCCTCGTCTTTAAGAAGTAACAAAGGCCAACACAAAGAACAGACTGAACTATGAAACGAAAGAGTAGCAACTGCACAGGCAACAGCAGCAACAGCAGCAACAGAAACAGCAGATGAGGGTTTATTCCTTTGTGTGCAGAGTCCATCGCCCCAGGTCTATAGTTCAGGTTCGGTCTTTAGGGTTTAGGGTTGGGGTTTAGAAGCTAGGGTTTACGTTCAGTATAGGCATGCCAGCAGCGCAGGCAACCTTCGTAAGCACCCCAACACAGGAGTAAAGAAGGGCTCCAACAGACGAGAAAATTATACCCCGAGACGCCACGCAGCAAAGCGAGCAACGGGCTGTCTGTGAAGCAGAGAGAGGGTTGGCCCTCATTACCAAGGGATGAACCATCTTCGGGAGGGGGCCTGTGACACACACAGCAACACTAACAAACTTGCATCAATATCCAAGTAGTATCAGTATATTTACACATATACATGCTTATATACACACCAGGAATGCAAATGCACTGGCGTGAACGCATACACACACAAAGTAAGCATACGCATGAACGTAGATATGTAGGCGTGACGATACAGATGAACGCGACCATACATACAATTAAGCAGGAAATGACGATATAAATGCACGTTTAGATAAACAACAAAATGCAAGCAAACATGAACGTTGAGATTACAATATATATGAACCAACCGGAGACTTGTACGGTTTGTTTTCCGTGCTGCAGGGAACTCAAGTGTAAAAC